ATCAGCTCTCACCGCCTACGTCATGAAGCACTGCAAACATCCAATAGGAAAATTCAACTGCAGTAGCCACCGTTCAAACTGAAGAGGGCAGCACTCAGACGTTTTTACACCATATATTGTAGAATTAAAACACTTTATACCCAAATGTCAAAAAAGTTACTCGAATCAATAATCAGCACTAAAAAAGCCCCATTCTTACAGATCATTAACTAAAAAAAGTTGGTTTAGGGTTTAGTTTACCCTAGTTAGTTGACCGGACATTTCTGACTCTTGAGGAGCGTTCTCATAGTTCATGGCTGCAGCGATTGGATTACCACACATTTGGACTCTGTCAGGCGTATTCAAAAGGCTGCCCCGCCCTCTACCAGCCGTAAATGGTAAATGTATTGTCCCACCCTAAATCGCTTCGTCTAGCAGCCATTCCCCTCAGGCGTCAGAATACACTAAAATAAATTAACTAAATAAAATCAACCCATTGCATTCAATTGTAATATAACAGCCCATTCTCATCCCTAGGCGTCATGAAACTGACGCCTTGGGAATCATTTTGACCATGCTTCAATATTCGACGCTTTAGGCACCCTTTAGCGTCAGTTACATGACGCGATCCTAGGGCGTCATCTTGCTGACGCTTTACCTTTAACGTCAGTTAGATGACGCTATCTAATCCTAACCCTACCCCAGACCTAAACCTACCCGCGTCATCTAACTGACGCTTAGGTAAAGCGTCAGTAAGATGACACCCTAGGATCGCGTCATGTAACTGACGCTAAAGGGTGCCTAAAGCGTCGAATATTGAAGCATGGTCGAAATTGTCATTTTAGTGACGCCTTGGGGTGAGAATGCGTTGAATATAAGAACCATATTATCAGCCAAAAAAAGATGCTTCTTGACTTGCTTTAGCACTTAATTCATTTCTCACTTATTTCCATGATAATTCAGTAAAGTTCAAATGGTTTACTGCTGCCTTTACTATTATTTGTATCCTTTCTGTTTTTGGTCAATTACAATATTTTGGTTGAATCTCTTTTCTACATTTCTCCTAATCATGGTCCTCTTCACATCTAGCACACCTTCTTTTCCCTTTACAAGTTGAAGCAGTGTGTCCAAATCTCTGCCAGTTAAAGCACCTCATAGGTATAGGGACATACTCTCTCAAATTATATGTCATGTAACCTAGACATACTTTGTTTGGGAATATTTCATCCTCAAACTCCAACAGTATTCTTTTACGGTCTTGATTTATTCCATCTCTAAAGGACTGTAATCTTTGTGTATCTTTCCTCCTTTCAAATTTGCCTTTATTTCATCCAACGTTAACCTCAACAGGTATTCCCCAAATCACACCTCTGTTCCACACGTATCTCTTCTCCACATATCTATCACTTTATGTTTTCCTACTTCTCTCATCCTACAAGGTCTTTTCCTTTGTTCTTCGTTATTGCACATGATTTCTCAATATCGTAGTCAATTTCACTGGACTCGAGGCATGCACTCCTTTTTCTTCACTAAAACGAAATATTGAATTTATCATCTTCAACCTCCGTATACTTTTACATATTGAGTACGATCGGTTAAGAAAGACAAGAGCCACTTAATAATAAAAGGGTTGACATTACTTTTTACAAGCTTACCCAGGAGTAACTGCGGCTGAAGCCTATTAAAAGCGGAGCTAAAATCTACAAAGAGCAGTCGTGCATAAGCATTAGAGGTTTCTAGTCTGCATGGTTTTGCATGGCAGAATGCGCGCAAAGCGCACTCCCTTAATAATCCTTAAAGGGGTCATCGGATGCAAAATTCACTTTTATATGGTGTTTGCATATAAATGTGTCTTTCCAGTGTCTGGAGGCAACCACCATACCATGAAAAAATCCATTCACTCCTTTTTTTTAATCCTCAAAAAGCCTAAACACTCTCAATAATCAAGCCGTTTGGATTTTCTGAGCAATATGATGTCATATTGCTCATGCTCCGCCCACGACCACTGATGTACGGTGGCCGAGACAGCTCAACGCGCTGCAACTGAAGCAAACACATGCAAATAGAGAAAAAACGCGTGCAAATAGAAAAAAACGCATGCAAATAGAAAAAACACATGCAAATAGAAAAACATGCGTGCAAATAGAAAAAAACTCCTGCAAATGAAAAAAAAACATCTTCATCAGTTTCACAACACACGTGTGCTCCAAATAAGGAAACGCGCTGCAAAAGTTCACAACACAACCAAATACAGAAAACGCGCTGCAAATAACACAGACCACAAAGGAAATGTTTCCAGGGGAACCAAATAAGTGACGAACCCGGCTGAGACGTGCTTATTGCTCGTGAGCTTCCCTATGCCATACTCCCTTCGAAGGGCAGATTGCAGAGCCCTTTTGGAGTGAGCAAGGCTCTAGTGTGCTGTTAGGCAGCCGTGTGGAACGCACTTGATGAAGGGAGCAACTAAAGACAATGTGGGATGTTCCCATGACAACGCAGCTGGTCTTAAGACAGAAATATGATGCTGTTAACATAACGGATGCAAATACATTTTTATTTTTAGTTTACAAAAAAAGCTTTTAAAATATGCGTTATATATCTGTGTCTCAACTTAAAAATGTTGGACCCTACATTACCTAACATTTCTTACGAAACTTTTCTTTATGAAAATGTAATAACATGAAACAATTTGTACAGTGTAACTGATCTATAGATAAATATCTTTCCTTCATGTTTTTCTTCTTTATCTTTTTTATTTATTTATTTTAGTTTCCAGCTCATTGTTCTTTTCTCATTTGTATTCTGATGACATTGAACATATTGTTAATACATTTTGTACATTGTATACAAGTTGTATGTCATAAAAAATGTAATCTCTGTATGTTTTGCACAAACAAATAAATAAATAAACAAATAAATAAAGTATAATTTTAAGCTGTAAGCACCAGCACGCATAGATTTATGGATATCTATGCCAGCACGTCCCAGTCGGGTTCGTCACTTATTTGGTTCCCCTGGAAACATTTCCGTTGTGCTCTGTGTTATTTGCAGCACGTTTATGTATTTGGTGGTGTTGTGAGTATTTGGAGCACACGTGTGTTGTGAGTATTTGGAGCACACGTGTGTTGTGAAACTGATGAAGATGTTTTCTTAATTTGCAGGTGGTTTTTTTTATTTGCACTCGTTGTTTTCTATTTGCATGTTTTTTCTACTATTTGCATGCGTTTTCTTCAGTTGCAGCGCGTTGAGCTCTCTCGGCCACCGTACTGATGGACTGTCCCGCAAAGCATATTTCCGCCCTCAGCCATTTGTATACTGTCCACCAAGGGAGGCTGCCAAGGCAGCACTTCAGGGGTGCTTCTCATTTCTCATTTGTGCATCCTCGTTTCCTTTCCTCGCTTCCTTTCCTCGCGTCTCAGCTCCACCCCCTGTAGGACGCGAGGGAAGGCTGCAAGGGAAAAAAATGAGGACGGAGGAATTGAATGAAAGCTTTTTTATACATTGGAATACTTGATCACTCGAGCGCCACTTCATTGCGTCATCAGCAGTGCTCAAAGCATCTGCCCTTATGTTGTTAAAGTTTGTTTATTTAAGAAATTCATAATAAATAATAATAAAGCAAGATACCTTGTTGAAATATGTGAGTTGTGTGGTTTATGTAAACTACAAAAGTAAAGTATAAATTTAAATGATTGTGACAGATGTGAAGTGGGAGGAGAATTGATACGTGCGTCATGTTTAGTCGATAAAACTCTTCCGCAAAGGTTACACCTGTGTATCCTCGCTCATAGCTCCTCTGGAAGCCTCCTCACTCCTCGATCCTCGCCTCCTCGCGGTGCAATTAGAGAATTGAGATGTCCTTCAAGATGGCTGAGCTCGATTGGTTTCCGGGTCATAGGACGGAGGACGGAGGAGCGAGGAGACGAGGAGGGATAATGAGAAGCACCCTATGTGTCTTGTGTGACTCCCCCCATGGAAGAGAGGGGTGGGGTGAGCAGTGGCTCATTATCATTTAAAGAGACATGCACCGAAACGGGTCGCTGTGAACAGAGCTGTTTTTGAGGAGGTAAAAAGGGTGTTGTTTTACACAACCATTGTATGTGACAAACTTTACATGAAGACCCTAAAGAATCATACCAACTTGTAGAAAATGGGCATCCGATGACCCCTTTAAAAAGCTGATATCTCAGTTGTTTGTGGTCTCACAAAGCTCACTTATAACCAATGAATCTGCACAATGAATCTTTCATAATGTCCACACTTTTTTTGTTATAAAAAGAGGATTCACCAGCTTGCAGAATTCAGTACTAAACAAAAACTCAAACATTTTGAGCTGTGACTGAATCTATCTTAAATGCATCTGATTGGCCATTGCATTTTAGAAATCAACACATATGTCTGTGATTGGCTACATTGCACAAACTGCAAAAGCATGTTATAAATAGAAACTCTGCCTATGAGTGCCTATTCTATTTTGCGGGAGTCCATCTGGAGTAACTTTGCTTTCGATTTGTGCAAGTTGCAACAGTCCCGTTCTGTGCAACAGAAACACTCTGTGTAGGCGAGCCTTTGCGATAAATTAACCGTGACGTTTTAAATCATGGGTAATCGTGGTTAATCGATGCATCCCTAGGTGCAGTAGCATAAACTTAAAGATTAGAAAAGGCGATTTATATTATGCAGTTTCTATAGCATTTACTTAAAGCTGTCAAACCACAAAAGGACATACTTGTTACTGAAAAAATGTCTATACACAATGTATCTTCCAGACAAGGGTCAAGTCATCTTCACATGTTTAATGTGTTTAATACGTATAGGTTTAGAAGTTTAGAACCAATCTCAACCAGAAATTTTGAGGAATATCAATACAGTTATGCCTTCCAAGCACTGTACTAATCAAGAGAGTTGTGTATGATACTCCAGAGTAAAGCAATGCCTTTCCCAATTCTATCTGATTGATTAATCCCTGACCATTTCTTTCATTCTTCCATCTGTTCCTTTTCATGTGTCTTCTCTCAAAGGCATGACTTGTCAAGCACGGACATCGTACACGGAGGACGAGGTGCTCTGGGGCCACAGATTCTTCCCGGTCATCTCTCTGGAGGAGGGATTCTTTAAAGTGGATTATTCTCAGTTCCACGCTACATTTGAGGTTTCCACACCTCCCTACAGCGCAAAGGAGCAGGATGAGGCATTGCTCATGTCCTCTCCACTCATGGCCCCATCACTGTGCAACAGTAGAGAGAAGAACAGCTCCCAGGACTGTCTGGAGCTGCTGGAAGATCTAGAGAACACCAGTAAATTACCAACCAAGGTACAGAAAATGACAGGTAGAGAAGGGCTGCCCAGGAAGCTACTGAGAATGAGCTCCACCACATCAGAGATGACATACAGCCTTGGCGAACTGCCCATGAAGCTCCAACGCATCAGTTCTGTGCCTGGGGTCTCAGAGGAAATGCAGGTTACCAAGGCGACTAAGATTTCCACAGAGGCCATCAGCAAATCGGTTGCAGACTTGCCGCCGAAACTTCAGAGAATGGCTGGGGGAGGAGGTCGCATGGACGGACACCTGCCACCCAAACTCCGAAAGATGAATTCTGATCGTTTCACATAGAATAACTTTCTCATTAGCAACAGTCAAATGGGCCCTCTTATAATTCAAGATATTTAGCGTGTGTATATAGACAGATACACCATTTATGATACTAATGTAGGTTAATGTAATTCAGAACATCTGTTCCTGTGGTGGGTTCATATGCAGTAAAGAGACTCTTTCAGATTGTTGTTACTACAAGCACAATCTGGTATGGATGACACCCTCCATTGCATGTTAAAATATTTCTCTCCTTCTGATGGCATGACAAGCTGTACATATTTATTTGCCAAGGAAATGTTAGCAAATATTATTTCCTCCAAGCCATATGGTGATATATCGGACAATACCTCCTACATGGCTAATTAGCGATTATTCATGTCATACAGTTAAGTTGTTCACCATAATACCTCTATACTAAGCTTATCTTACAATGCATGTGCACACACACATATATATATATATAAACATGATTAGATAAGTGATTATTAAGAATAGTAAAGCTATTGATGAACACTGAAGAAACAACATTACTGAGACTTGTCATTACTGAGCTTTTTATGACTTTTATATTTACTGAGAATATCAGAAAAGGAAAAAAATAGGGAAATCATTTGGTAAAAGCTGGTATCTGTCACCTCATTTAGAATAGTTCACCCCAAAATGCTTTTGTTTCTCTCCCTCAGGTTGTTGGAAAGCCGTATTGCTTTCTTTTGAGAAACACAGAAGTATGTGATAGAAAATAAATAGAAACCTGCAAAAAAAATAAGGTCCAAAAGAATGTACACTATATTCCAAGCTGAACATTTTCTCCTTCACATTAATGGGTTTGAAAGAAGACGAGGACAGAAATTCCATTTTTGGATGAACTATTCCTTTTACTGTAACAGAGCAATAATTTAATGGCTGATGAGTACCAAAATCAGTGCAAAATTACCTGGAATTTCAACACAAATTTGTTCATATGTCTTGTTTAAACTTGGGACATCTAATACACATTTCACTACAGGTAAAGTGTGCAAATTTTTAAATGTTAAAATACTGCCTCCAACACCAGGTACATATGTATGTATAAGCCATTCTTAGGTTGATTTCTCTAAAAAGATTAAACACTGTGGTTCTGTCGTATGGGGTGCCAGTTGTAACCTAATCATTTTTTTTCTTGCACAACAACGGTGAATGTACTTTTCATTTCATCAATAACATATAAAAAATGTGCCCAGCTTGCACAAAATGTTTTTTTTTTTTTTTAAAGAACACTTCATCAGTGGAGGATATTTTGTTAATAAATTGTACTTCTAAATTTGGTGTCACTAGTGGCACAAAAATTACACTCTTCACCTTAAGAACTGGACATTTGCAATGTCATTTACAGCAAATAGTTTCTAAAGCATATTACTTGACAGTCTTTGATGTGCTTTCGGGACTTTAGGGCTCAATATAATTCCCACTATCCACATTATTAAATTATTTCCTCATAAGAAGTCAAGTGAAGAATCAAGGAATGAAAAATCTGATTCTGCCTCTTTAACTTTTAATAACCCTGGACTTAAGTGCACCTTCTTCCTTTATTGAAAAGGATTTAAAGGAAGGTTAATTTTATCCCCCCACCGCCGCCGTTCTTTCAGATTTTAAATGTAAAGTTCGGCATCTGTGCAATCAGTGAAGTAGAACCGAGCATTAGAAGTCTTGATTGGCTTATCCTTTAACCCCCTGGGGTCGGCTATCGCGCCGGCGCGATTGTCTTGCTTTTTTTCTTATCAGTGTAAAAGAGACTCAAAATACTCGGTTGGTTTTGATCTTACATATAAGTGTTGTACATCATTAGATCCTGTTAAGTTTCTATTTTTTTTATGGATACTCACAATAAAAACAAAGTGTTGTGCTTTTCACCAAATAAAGAAAAACAAACATGATGCGAGTTCTGCGTTCTCTCTGTCAGTGAAGTCCATTCTGAAACGCGTCCTAAGATTAACTGTAACTCCGCGATTACTTGTCACACAGGCACGAGAGGTTTTTCTTTATGAAGCTTAAATTCTCTTCTTTTAAATGAAGTAATTTATATAAAAAACAAATATTCTCAGTTTATGCAATCTGTATGAAAAGAGAGTGCTGTCAGTATTTTTTTTCCCAGCTCATTACACTTCATTACGCGTTAATCTGACACGCCCACGGAGGACGCGCGCTATTCAAACGCAAATGTCGGCAAGCCATGACAATGCCCACATCAGCCGTTCCACCGCGGCGGTAAAATGTGTGGTGTATTTGCTGCCTTTTACCGCTAAGAGGCGCTACAATCATAGACTCTGAAAAGTGTTCGTTTATTCCGGTTTATTCTCTCTAATGCGTAATCTGCTGCCGCACCGAAGAATTCAACAAGTGAAACGTAGTTAAAATAATTCATAATCACAATACTGAAATTAGGCTACTGAAATGTAATTGAATAAATAATGAAAACATTTCAACATAAAACATTGCAATAAAAAACATTTAGGCTACATGAATGAGGCTTTACCACTTAATCAGTGTACAGACGATAGCTCAGTGGTTAACGCATCAACACGAGCTTCGAGGAGCTTCATTAGACCCGAGATCGAATCTCAATGCAGCATACATGTTGTTAACCGATGTTGTCCTACAGCGTTTATATTTTCCCACCTTGATGCTTAAATAGGTAACTGTTTATAACTGTTTACTTATTTAAAGTCAAGAGTTTTGTTTAATTATCATTACAACATAAATTTGCTACATTCCTGTAGAACCGCAGCCGCTGCACAAACGACAAAAACTGATGAAGGAAGATTGTCAGCCGATTGCATCAGAAAATGAAAATGAAGAAGCTCGTCTTTAGTCTGCTAAATTATTGTGTAATGTAAAAGAACACTAAAATTACTTAAGTTTGAAACCAAGTTCGAACATTTCAAGGTTTACATTTTTTCATCGGGTTGCATCGGGTTTAGAGTTTATTTCTTTTGCGATGCAAAATAAGAAACACTAGGCTAATCTTATTCTTGCGACATTTTAAATGTGTATTGCCAAAGAAATTACAGCTAAATTAAACAATTAAAACAGTACAAAACGAAAATTGTCCAAAGAAACATGATTAAATTAAAAACATGCGTTTCTCTTTGCCTCTCTCGCGCTGGATCTCTTTTTAACAAGTTTATTTTAGTCTCCCTCGCTACGCGCGCGGGTCTCTCTCTCGAAATTAATCATTTCAGGGTAAAAACACATCATACAGCTGATAATACTGTATATGTCGCTGCGTGTCAGCCATACAAATCACGAAAAAAATATTTAACCTTTAATTGTTGCTTCAAAGACACAGCATGCCTTGTTGAATTCACCTTACAATCACTTCAATTGAAATTTTGTGTGAAAAAAACTTAAAATAGGCTACAATAAATAAACTACAATATTTATAATTTAATAAGATATGGGGTCTACATTTGGACACAGATTTATCCTTACAATAATTTTGCCTGCTCATCAGGCTGGCTATCCGACACTCTCCATATGAAAGAGGAACATTAACACCTTTGTCCAGCAACTGTCCCTCCAACCCCCCACAGGCTATCGGAGTCTGAGGCTGACTTAACACAAAGAGAAGTCGCAATTCACACTTAAATCCCTATTCTAGACAGTGTTGATAATGAAGGAATTAAATGATTTAAGTTACATGTAGCCTAGTGATATTTCTGTCATAAAAGTTTATTACTAAATATTTCATTATTTCAATAATTGATGAAATAAAACTGGTTTGGGGCAGCTTTTTCCAAGCAAAACTAAATATAACCTGAAAAAACGCTTGTTAATTTGTTGTCATGAACAAAATGTTCAACTCAATATTAAATTCTACAGGGATCTTTGGATCCTTACAAGGCATGCAATTTGTGAATTAAGTTTTTATTTTATTTTGTATTATTCAAATAAATATCGAAACACGGTGCTTCGTGGTAATGCTGCTAAATTAAATAACATTTATAGAATAATTATGAACTTAAATGAAACAATATCACAACATTTCGACAAATACATTATTTGATCTGTTTTTACATTTTAATTCAGGGCGATTTAGCCTACATAGAGCGAGATTTTCACCCTTGTCTTGTCATTTTCTCATTGGGAAGCGCTTACATTGCATGTTTGAGTAGATCCTCTGTACCTCTCGTTAGCCTATATGAATACAAGTTTACAGTTTTGAACGATGTAAGCCTACTCTACTCTTATCTGTATGACCAAAAAATTACGGGGGGGGGGGTTAAAATAATTCAGCAGAAGCAGGGATGTTTAGACCAGAAGGAAATCCTAGTCCCCCCTGGCAAATCACACTTTACTTAAAACCATGTTTTTAAAAAACTCTAGGTTGTACAGACCTCTCTGCCATGCACGCGCATGGTCTGCCTCGCATGCACGCTCGCTCTAGATAGATTACGGGATATTTTAACTAATTTGCGGTATAACTAGTCGATCACGAGTGGCTGAGCCACTCGTGATCTCAACAGGTAGATCTATAGATAAACTATATCTTTTAGGAATTTGACCGACCGGGTTGACACTTCAGCGTGAGAAATCGGGGGTGTGGCGTGAGAGCGTGAGATTTGGGTAAATTGCGTGAGTAGCCTACGCTCACGCTCAATGCGTGAGAGTTGGCAGCCCTGGAAAAAAAAAAAATATATATATATATATATATATATATATATATATATAGGCTATATATAATTAATTTTTTTACAGAACTGCTTTTGAAATTACGATTGGTAGCCTATTATTATACAGATGCAAAGTCGTTCTGTTGGATAGCTACTATTTTGTTCCTTATAGTGTAAAATGGAAATGCATGATAATTGTATTTTATAAATATAAGCAAAAAAAACTGTATGGTGTAACAGAGTTTTAGAGCTAGACAAATCTAAATAAATCTAAAATATACAGCAGACCATGTTTGTGCGGGATTTGAACCCGCGTCATCTTGATGATGAACCGTAAGTTCTACCGCTCGGCTATGAATTTACTCACTGAGAAATACCCGAACGTCTGTTTCTCACATGAGCGATTTTTTCATTTAGCCTGTGAGTGTAGGCCTATACTTGAGCCTTTTACAGTTTTAAAAGATTATATCTTATCTGTATGACCAACAATTATGGAGTAGGCTATAAATGTTTGTTGTAGGCTTATTTGGAAATTACCATAACTTGTAGTATTTCATCCTTATAGGCTACAGACATTAGCCCCACTTACGTTTTGCTAAATGTCCCTTTGCGCCACCTGGCGGTCGTTTCGCGAACGACTTTGAAATGCGACTGGTTTATTTTGACCGCGGTGGATGGCTAAAAATGGGATGTGGATGGCTAAAAGGTGTGACTAAAAATGTGCTTTTGGCTTTCATTTATATTTTGATTGTTTGTATATATATATACACACTACCGTTCAAAAGTTTGGGGTC